AAAAAAAAAAAAAAAAAAAAAGGAAAAAATCCTCCTGGTATACAAACAGATTTCATGTATTTAGCTATATTATGCCATATATTATGCCAATTATCATTATGCCATAAGCTGAAAAGCAAGTTTAAAAATTAGGAAGTTCAGCAAAATAATTTAATATAAAAATCACTATTTAATAATATGTAACATTATTAACTATATAAGTGTTTAATAATATAAAACTCTCTTCCTTTTTCTTTGCACTCTGTGTCACCTGAAAATGTTTCTTTAGGCTCAGGAACTGTTTGGAGCCCATATTTGTCAAATATTGTAGGAATAGGAGAAGGAATAATAACAGCAACAAATGATTTAATTATTACTACAATTATCATTGCTATTCTTATTAGGAATATCATTTACTGTAACACCTGCGATGTGGCTGGCAATTTTCAGACACTTCAGGGCTTTCACTTCATTCTACAGAGTTCATAATTCAAGGCAGAAGTCGGGGAAGAAAATATCAATAAGAAATTTATGGAAAATCTGTATATCATAAATCAGCAAGCTCCCTTACAGCAATAGAAGCACGCTCTTAGGAGGGTTTGCATGGAGGGGACTTAGCAGATGAGCCCTGGGTGGCTGGACAGGGCTTAGGGTTTGGACCCTGGTGTGACAGCCTGGGACACAGATGGAGCGCGGTGCCATGAAACACAGGGCTTGGAGCAGGCGGCTGGAGGCCTCTCATGGCGAGACCGGGATAGTGAGTGCACGGGAGGAGCACCAGAGCTTTGAAGGCTAAAATGTGCTCCATGCAGGATGGGAGGCTGGTTGAGGAATTCAAAACCTCAGTAGGGGAAGTTCTTCGTGAGCCTTTGTTAGAAGGGATATGCTCTGAAATGACGGCAGTGGGGCAATGGTGTAAATCCATCTGGCTACATAGATTTCAGCACCGTCCGGCTGAGAATTTGGCTAGCAGCTTATAAATCCCCAACATTTCACACACCAGAGTACAAAACAACTGTTCTTTCAGACCGTTGCGTAATCGTGAGTCCTCAGCCTCTGCTTGAGAATGATCCAGCTACCTTGTCAAGGAGCTGGAACAAAACTCTGCACCTCAGGTGACTCAGTTATACAACACGGAAAACAAATTCCCTCCACCAGCGTTTTGTGGGCAGTCCCTTGCACAGCCCTAGTGGGATGTTTGGTGCCATGGTCTGAGTTTCTTCCCATAGAAAGGCCAGATCTGTAAAATTGCTCCTTACCCAACTTTAAATCCCATTCAAGACCTAAAAGTAGATTCAGGAGGGTTGTGCTGAAAGGGCGATTTTCACCCTTGATGGATGAATCACTGTAACATCTGTGCTGAGTTACAGTACAGCTCAAATGCTGAGAGAAGAGGATGAAGATAAGGAATAAGTGGCCAATACCTCTTTAAGAATCCGCAAGAGCAAAGTAATAAAAAAGAAATACAATAACTCAGATAATAAAAACATTATCTTACAGATTTCATACAAACTTTGCCTTAGGGAGGCCACCTGGCTCGTGTTTTACTGACACAGCTGTTCAGACCTTTTTTTCCCTTTGCTACATAAAAAATAGAGGAATCTGAACAGCTGTTTTGGTTAATTTTTTTAATGCCTTCAGTAAGTAAAAATAAAGGCAAATGACATCAATAAGCAATGTGAAACTGCCTCCAAAGATGCTTTAAAAATTTTTAAGTCCTGGACCTCATCCTCAGCGAATAAAGGTCTGCGTCCATGGAAGGAGCTGAGCCCGCAGGGCAAGCGGGGCATTTCCACTTGCTCGCTGACAAGGTGTAGCCTCAGCCGTCCAGCATCTCTCCTCTTCACGTAGGAAAGACTCACCCACATCAGGGTGAACTGGCAAGCTCGGTTATATTGGAATCAGTCCACAGTAACCCCACTGACTTCACTGAAGTCACTTAAAATTTCCATAATTGAAACTAAAAAACCAACCCCACCCCAAAACTGATTTTGCTTAAAACCATCCATAACTGGTTCCATTGTATTCCAGGGAACTACTCTTAAAAGAGGTAGTTGAAGGGAGCAAGTGGAAGGTATCATTTTTCGCTATTTTCAAAATCACGGTGTTTCAGGGGGATGGAGGAGTCAGTGCTGATTAGCTCTGCCCCTCCTGACACCCAGCACACTAATAACATCCCAGCAGGTTGATAAAAGGGTCTGCTTTGAAAGGGTGATGGAATGAAACAAGTGGGAGTCGTTTTGCTTTTTGTTGTCCAGTGTTTCACACACCTCTAGCGGCAAACCCTCTTCGTTGCCAAGACAACCCCGAAGAAATACGAAATCCAGAACAATACCCTGTGTACAAGAAGCCTCGTATTCTTTAGTGCACGCGTTCGTTTTGAATGTCAAGAGAAACACTGCCCTCCACATCAATCCAGGTAAGTCCAGGTAAAGGTGTAGGTGATGTCTGTAAGATTATAATGACTTGCATTTAGAGATCGTCTTTTGTCCTGATGGCTGCCGAAGCTTGAGGCCAGCACACCGAGAGCCTGAGCAATGCTATTCCTGCGATGCAGCATTACCTATAGCTGGCCAGGCAGTACCAGGAGGATTCCTGGGGGCTGTCATGAAAATCAGTCGGGGCTGGGGCGCTGTCTGCTCTCCCCAGCCTGCGCTTCATGTGAAGGTGTCTGCAGTGAGCGGGGAACGCCAGGCTGTGATGATCTGCCTTTGCAGTGGTTTCTAAAGATTTCTTGGGCAGCTGAATGCAAGTTAGTACAGCTATAAATAATTATCACTCAATAATTGGGATGGACTGAGCTGTGCTTGGTCTTTAGGTCAAAGGAAATATAAATGTGACTTAAGCCTCTTTACTTAAGGTCTTGGCTCAGTGCAGGATAGTGGAAGGTCTGGAGCTTTGGGTTTGATAATGCTTATTTATTTAACCCTAATGAATATACATTGGACAAAGGTCCAGGAGGTCAGAATAAACATCTTCAGAGACTCTTAGGGCATCCTCTTGAAGAGATTAGCCTCGGGAACTTTTCTGTTTCTCAGAGAAAGGCTGTGTGCAGTTTGCAAATATAAACCTTGCTTTTCCATGTTCTCTCCAGATCATCTTTAAGCTTTCCCTTTTATTCCAAGTGGCAGATAATAAGTGATAATTTTTCTCTGAAGAATGCTAGGGATACTGGTTTTACCACACTTGAACCTGGCGTTGACCTCCTTGTTAGGAATGGCTGGACCTGTAGGAAGTAATTTAAGATCTCCACTCAGTTAAAGCTCTTTGATAAATAGGGGCACAGCGGTTAGAGCAGGGGACGCTGGATTCTGCGTAATGATGCATCCATTTTAGTGTGCACCCAGCATGAAGACAAAACCGTTTTAGCCTGCCTTGAATCACAGCAGCATCCCAAAAGTAATCAGGAGGAATGCCATCATCTTTGCACCCTTTGGTTCTTTGGGTCTCCGCTCCCTTGGTTCTGTCCTTCTGTACCAGCTGCCTATCAGGATGTTCCCAGCAGGAAACTCAGCAGCATTATGAGTGTATCCCAACAGACTTAGT